CCGATCGAGCTTGCGCTGGCCGACGCTGGCGAGGCGACGCTGCTTCGCCGACGAGGCGAACTTGCTGGCAGGCCTGTACCGTCACGATGACTTACTGATCATAGGTTGATTTATATTCAATAACCAGCGGTAAACGCGGGGTTAGTTACTCCCCGTACCCACGTGCAATCACGTCCTGCCACGTGCAAACGCGGCTGATGGTACGTACACAGACGTTCCTCACGTACGTGTATCTAAGGACCTCGCGTCGCACGCACACACCCTCGCCATACACACACGCACACGCTCGCGCGTACACTTCCTGCCGACTCGCGCACGCACACTTGGCGGCATTGTAAACTCGGTGATTGGCCCTCCGCGGAAGGATAGGGTCACCCTAACCGCCCTGTTCCTCCGTTTGTGTTCCTTCGCATATCACAGGCATCACTGGAGGTCGCCGCATGGGCAGCGCGAGCGTGCGACGATGGCTAACAAAATTTCATAGACGACCGTGCACGTGTGCTGGACATCCTCCGGGGAAAGAGAATCTGAGGATACGTATTAGGTAAATCGGAAAGTTCCGTCCATCTAGCGGCAAGTAGCTATAGCTAGAACCGTCGTTAATCTCTAATGTCTGAACGAAGCTTAATGGTTTGTTTTGACATCTGTCAATAACATTCAGTACATAAAGTTATACGTTTGAATCAATAACATTGTTTTTCACTGCATCGAAAGTGTCGAAATTTGAGCGAAATAAGCGTCATTTGCGCGAAGTGTTAATCTTTTGCTTCAATTGGAAGGAAACTGCAGCTGAAGCTCATCGAATGTTTGTAGAAGTTTATGGTGATAATGCTCCTTCCGACAAAACATGCAGAGAATGGTTTCGACGCTTTAAAGGTGGTGATTTTGATGTAGAGGATAAAGAGCGTTCTGGACGGCCAAGAGTATTCGAAGACGAAGAATTGCAGGCATTGGTGGACAAAGACCCATGTCAAACGCAAAAGCAACTTGCAGAAGCATTAAATTGTGCTCAACCTGTCATTTCCGATCGCTTAAAAGTCTTAGGAAAAGCCAAGGAAGGAAAATGGGTCCCGTATGAACTGAAGCCAAGAGACATTGAAAGGCGAAAAACCACCTGCGAAATTCTGCTCGCTAGGCAACAAAGAAAGGGGCTTTTACATCGTATCGTCAAATGATGGGATGAAAAATGGATTTATTTTGACAACCCCAAATTTCGACAAACTATTTGCGATCCCGACCAACCCTCAACACCTCGGCGCCAAAGCGGAATATCCACGGAAAGAAGGCAATGCTCTGTGTGTTTGGTGGGGTCAGAAGGGTGTGCTGTACCATGAGCTGTTGAAAAGTGGTCAAACAGTCACAGAGGATCTCTACAGAGAACAAATGATCCGTTTGAGCCGAGCATTGCACGAAAAACGACTAGAAACGAGACAGCATAAAGTGATTTTGCTTCATGACAACGCTCGGCCGCACGTCACAAAATCTGTCAAGGAAACTGTTGCAAGCACTTCGCTGGGAAGTGCTACCTCATGCGACTTATTCACCAGACTGTGCCCCTTCCGATTACCACTTATTTCGGTCGATGGCACACGCACTTACTGACGAATGCTTCAATTCTTATGAAAACGTCGAAAAATGGGTCTCTGACTGGATAACCGGACCTCCGGAAAGATGAGTCATTCTTTCGCCGCGAAATTCACTTGCTGACCGAAAGATGGAAAAAAGTCATCGCTAACGATGGACAGTATTTTGATTGACGTACTTTTTCATTTTGTTTCTTAAATAAAGCCATACGTTTTGCAAGAAAACGGACGGAACTTTCCGATTGACCTATAATAAATTGCACGGCGTCGTCCCGTCGATTCAGGAGGAACAGTGGCGGCCTCGAGAACCTTTCCGACAAACGCGCGCTCCTTGCGTGAATCGACCTTCGCGCCAAGACTCGCGTCGATATTTCACCGGCGCACGCGACTCGCCGATTAGCCGCCATTGAAAGAATCCTAGCGGAAACGGACGGCGGACGGCGATCCGGCCGGCGTCGATCCAGCCGTGCGCCATTCTACCGCGCGGCGCTATCTCCCCGAAATTCACTTCTTCCCGCACCCTCTCGAGCCGAGCGACAGCAATATCAACGTGCGAGGACAACCGTGGATATAATAACCGCCGCCCGTAACCTCCCATCGCCGTCGCAGGGACGCGCCGTTGGCGCCGAGTGCCGCGTATCTCTCGTTACAACGGCACGTTGTAACGTTACGACTGTCGGCGGTCGTGAACGTCGTCGTCGGGTCACGTGAAATGCAGCTGCGCATCGGCGACATAATTAAAGTCGCCCTTTGTCCCGCGGCACGTTTCCGCCTGAATTATCCCCCGTGACTTCGGGAATTTAGGAGGAGCGGAAACACGCCCGGCCGTATCTCCGCGCGAATATACGGGGATTTAAAAAGTGTGGCGCACGTTTCTGGAAACGTGCTCCGCGCTAAATGCGTCTCGCGGCGCCGTATATCAAGTCCCCCGCGATAAGGCAAACTTGCCGCGATACGCCTTACTTTCGCGAGGAGGAGGAGGAGGAGGAGGAGGAGGAGGCAGGGAGAAAGAGAGAGAAGGCGAAAGTGAGAGGAGGAGGAGGAGCGAGAGAGAAGGAGGAAGAGACAGATAGAGAGAGAGAGAGAGTGAGAGAGAGATAGGGGAGGGGGGAGGGGGTAGAGAAGCAGGAGGATTGTGCGACTCTATATTAACGTGTGCATATTTAATATGCCGTCCTGGCAGACGGCATTCGAGCCGCCCTCTCGGATCCATATTGGCCGAAGTGCGAGCAATTGCCCCCGCTTGCCGGAAGCTGCAATTGATTGCGACAGCCGCGTCTCTGAAGCACATTGTCGCCAGCGCAATATTGGACGGCGGTCGAGCGGATATCTGGCAGCGTTTCGCTCTGCGATTGTCGTGTCGATGATGATTGACGCGCGGGGTGATTTTTCGCAGGATTTCGAAAAGAGCACAGAACGTAGCCGCGTTTCAACTTCTTGGTAAGTCAACTGATAGTTAAATTAAATATATGTTCATCTTTGTTTTCTCTTCGATTTAAATGAAGGCAGACATACGATTTAACTATCAGTTAACTTACCAAGGAGTTGGAACAACCTGTCCTAAATGTGATGTCTCGACGAGATGTCAGACGATACGGAGAAATACGGAATTTGAAATCCACATACGTCGCGGCTTGATAAGAACGCGTAATCCGGTGTAATCGGTCCGACCAATTATGTCGGAAGAACAAGAAAGTTCTTTGCAAACGTAACAAGGCTCGCGTAGAGAGCGCGAGCGATAAAGTTCGTATCCCTTAATGATCCCTCGTTGCGAAGTTACATTGTTATCTAGACCGCAGGTGGGATTACGGTTGCGATCGATTCGAGCGTACGAGGGGACGTCCAAATGCGTGATATTTAATGTAAGATCGCGGCGCGAGCGGTGGGAATTAAGCAGATCGCAGTGCCGTGAAATAATGGTCGAGTACGCGGCGCGAAAATTTCACAGACGAGCGTGCGAATCGTTCAATCGCTGCTTCGCGCATCTGCGCGCAAGGATGAAAGAGCTTTATTAGGTCATTAAGTATGAAATGTCCGATTTCCTTAAGTAAATACTAAGTTCGACAGTCGATATCTCTGACATTTCACCTTTACAGTTTTTGGACTTTTTTTGTTGTTGTGAAGGCACATCATCACTCTTTCAAATGCATTTGCAGTTCTGCTTTGTGATTATCTTTCGAATTGTCTTTGTTACAGCAACTTTTGTGTAATCATGGATAAGTTAAAAATTCATGTTATTTTCGAATATAAGTCCCGTGGAACCAATGCAGCGCAGACAACTCGAAATATTAAAGAAGTGTTTGGTGAAGATGTGGCTAATGAACGTACGTACAATACGTCGATGGTTTGAGAAGTTTCGTTCTGGCGATTTTAATCTTGAAAATGAGTCACGTTGGTGATCAGAGACCAACAAGGTGGATAATGATGAGCTGAAAGCTGTAGTGGAAGCGGATACATTTCAAACTACGCGTGATTTAGCAGCAAGGTTTAACGTTACTATTCCAACAATACTGGATCACTTGAAACAAATCGGCAAGGTAAAGAAGCTGGATGGAAATGGGTTCCGCATGAATTAAACGAGCGTCAGAAGAGAAGTCGTCTCGAAGCTTGCCTTCCTTCACTATCATGACGTAAAAGCGAACCATTTTTACATCGTATTATTACGTGTGATGAACAGCGGATTCTTTTCGACAATTACAAGTGTTCGACACAATGATTGGATATGGATGAAGTGCCGAAACACTGTCCGAAACCGAATATTCACAAAAGAAAGCCAATAGTGTCTGTTTGGTGGTCCAGCGCTGATATTATCCACTACAGCTTCATGAAACCTGGTCAATCGATTACTGCGGATGTCTACTGTAACCAACTAGGTGAAATGATGAAAATGCTTGCGATCAAGCAGCTGAGATTGATCAATAGACACAGGTAATCCTCTTGCAAGATAACGTTCGATCACATGTCACACAAACAACGTTGCTCAAACTACAGGAGCTGAACCTGGAAACTCTCTGTCACCCACCGTATTCATCAGACCTTGTACCAACTGACTATCACTTCTTCCAGGCACTGGACCATTTCTTGGAAGGAAAAATATTCAATTCTCAACAAGCTGTGGAAAACGTCTTCTGCGACTTCATCGTCACTCGCTCTTCAGGCTTCTTCGCCGCTGGCATAAATAAGCTACCGTTAAGATGGCAGAACTGTGCCGATAGTTTAGGCACATACTTGGATTAATTGTACTACTTCTAATTTGAGATATAATAAACCAAACCACTTTTGATTCAAAATCGGACATTTCATACTTAACAACCTAATACAAATATCTTTTGAAAATCGCTCATATTTCGCGTTGCGCCGTGCATTATTGTACCTCGCGCGAACGCGAACTATAAAGAGCACGTTTCATTTTCGCAGGACCGACGTGGACGCTGCATCTGGCACGAAAAGTGGCACTTTGAAATTCGTAAGGACCCTAACAAACATATCGAAGGACGCAGGCAGCGTCGCCCATATGCGGTGTGAGGTTGTGGGCGATCCACCTCCGACGAAGATACGATGGTTCAAGAACGAGGCGCCGTTAGAAGAGGACCGGCCAAAAATCACTATCAGAAAAATACACGCGCAAGTAAGCCACTCAATTGCCGCTACCCGAGTAGAAAATTTAATTAGGGCTCTGGTAAGGGCAACAAGGCTTTATAAGGCAATATTAATAGAGTCTCATAAGGAAATATTTTTATTATTGCTTGTGTAAAAAATATTTGTTCTTTTTATTCCAAGAAATTTAGACTGTAATTTCTTTCTTTCTTCATAACCTTGTTAGTATACAACAAGAATTTTTTATTTTAAATATATAGCATACTTTACGATAAAATATAATATTCTTTACGCATAAAAAAATCCTGCTACTGTTTTTATTAAAGTTTGCTGCATTTCAAAACGTAGGCACTAGAAAAATCCTTGGAAGAGACTAATGAATATGGCACCTAATAAAATTTATTTGTAATTGCGGTATAATTAAAAAATCTTTAAAAAAATCAGATAGAGCGTATCTACTAAAACAATACTTGACCATGACAATTTTATTATACGCTTCAAATCTTATTAATTTTCTATAACAAAACTCGATTTTGTACATCTAAAGCATCCTTAAAAGATCCTTCTAAGGTCCACATCAGTTTTCCATGTTAAAGCATTATTTCGTAAAATCTAAGACATTCCTAAAAAATTCTTCTAAGATTCTTCTCAGCTTTCCCTATCAGAGCCTTATTTATTAAATCTAAGGCATCTCTAAAAAAGGGCCTTCTAAGGCCCTTCTCAGCTTTTTCAAAGTCTTATTTCGTAAAATCTAAGATAACCCTAAAAGATTTTTCTCAGGTATTTATCAGTTTTCCCTATCAGAACCTTATTTATTACATCTAAGATATCCCTAATAAATCTTTCTAAAGCTGTCATCAATTTTCCTTATCAAAGGGAAGGAAGGCCTTATTTCGTAAAATCTAAAGTATCCCTAAAAAATCCATCTCAGGGACCGATGTGGTAATAATGAGGCATCCTTTCGAGGAGCATCCAACTTTCAGCCTTAGGGGGGCCTTATGCTTCATGAGAATGGCTCTAACAATGTTTTACTTTAGTTTTAATTCGAAGCCGCGTCTCGGGGCTGCTTTGTGAAAGGGAGAGGGGGAGAGAAATTATTTTTCTAGAATCAAGATTGTTCTCCTCGAGTATAAATTCGGACTTGTAGCATTTCCTTCTTAATCATCAGCTTTCAGGTTGCAATTCAGTCGGCACAAAGTATCCTGCCTTATTGTTTCAGACGCATGAGCACGCAGCGAAGAACGTGGCGGGAAGTCGATTGAAAATCACAAACTTGGACGTTTCCGATGTTGGCTTTTACACCTGTCGCGTCACCAACGGCAAGGACCAAATTCAGAGCGAGGGAACCCTGCGAGTCGATTCCTCGAAGAAATGGCAGGGTGAGCAAAATCAAAAATTCTCCGCCTCTGCAAGCCTTGTGCACACTCGAGTGTGACTTGTTTAAATATTGATATTATAATGAATAAGTAAGTTCTATTCTCAACGTACGATCAAAACTTGACGCGTCGAATATTAATCCGTTGAATCACGAGACGCATAAAAATACCTGACGTTTATCGCTGTGCGCGAGGGGAAACCCGAAAATAACTCGAACTTACTATTTCGAAATAGTAATCCCCGCATTCTTATATCATTTTCTTGTCGCGCACGGGCGAGAACGAACTTTTATACATGTTTGGTGTAAAGTTACGCCCCCGGGCGACCGTTACGCAATTACGTTAACGAGTCTCGGCGTAACCATTAGGGAGGATAATCATATCTTCTTCGTAATTTTAAAGCCACGCGAAACGGTCCGCCCATAATCTGGATGGTTTGCATTTCGCGGGAATAATTAAACACACGAGTTTTAAAACGCGCGACCCGTAAAATCCGGCCGAGTATAATATTTCCGTCCACGTCGCCGAGGTACAGGCCTCGAAGGCGGGCTTTGTGGCCCGTAACTCGCTCGCGGCACACACAACACCGTAAAAAACATTTGTAATGCGCGAAGTGAATCGCGACGTTTTACCTACCCCGTCGCGTCGCCGCGCAAGTTTTCGAGTAAACGCATTAAATGCCGGAGGTAACGGTGTATGTTTGACACGAGAGCATTATCGTAAAACGCAAAACCGCCTGACTATGAAAACGGTTATGCAGCTTGGCTCTACACCAGCTGCATTGTTATCTTACGGGCTCCAAGGGCGTAAGCAAGATCCTCTCTCGGAGTGATCTCGAGTGTCGAGTCGCGACGAGTCTGAAATCTGCCGGAGTCGAAAACTTCGCGGTCTTCTATCGATTATTTCTTGAAACCTCGCGGAAACGAGCGACTCGCTAAGATTGCCAACAGTCGCGTTTTCATTCTCTCGAGAACAGCTCTCGAGCCCGCGTCTGTTACTTCCTCCCCCCCCCCCGACGTCAATTAATTCCGATTTGCCGCGTCTGAATTGTTGCTACCCTTTTACGCTCCGTGCGCATTTTTCTCAGCGGTTTTAATCTTGCGTTTCTACAAAATTTTTGTTTCTACAAAATTTCCCTCGTTCCGCGAAACTCCGTAAAAGCGCCCCTGCCTACGCGCCTGTGTTATCTCCTCTAGTCTAGTGGTAGTTCCTGTTTACGACGCGCTACCCTTTCACCGGAGGTCATTTCGGTTAATGCGATATTAGAGTAAATATTTAAAGACTCCAACTAGGAAAACGTAATTGTCGATAAATTGTCGGCCCATTCAAGCCGCGGAGCTCGGAAAGTTTCTCACGAGTTGCACGAATAATAATTAAAAATGTTTATTCTGTCTCAACAATTTGTATCTTTTGTTCGCATGGTGGCCTGTTTTCTTTTGTTAATATTCCGTAAATGTTGGAAAAATATTATATATTTTACGAGAGAAAGGAACTCCATAAAAAATTCGACACCGTAATTATTTGTTATTGTCGAATCTGTCTCGATATATATAAGATGTATTACGCGTGTCTCTGTACGCGGTTTTCTATACAAAGTTGTCGCTTTAAAAGCTGACTCGGTCTTTTTTCCTCGGGAATGAAAGGAACTGCCGAAAGGCAGCTTCCTCGAGTCGTGCTCGACTTAAAGGTTGGAAAGGAATCGTAAAAGTAACGCTGTTATACGAATCCCGCGCTCCTCGCCCGCGCCGTAGCGAGAATCGAATCGAATTAAGAAGAAGTGAAAGTCGGGTTCGCAGTCGTCGACCGATGTGGAACGACGAAGAAAAGCTCTTTCGGGCTTCGACTTCGAAAGGAACAAAAATAAGAAACTTAACGCGCTCGTAAAACTGTCAATTTGGAGAATTCACGATCGACATCCGTTGCAAGAATAGATAAAAGACAAGTTGGAGTCTAATAGAATATAGAAGAATATACTTTTCTTTTAATGTACAACTATACATACAGAGTGTTCCAAAAATCCTGGAACGGCCAGATATCTCGAAAATGAAGCAATTTAAAGAAAAATGTTTCAGACGAAAATTGTCCAGATTGATTGATATAAAAAGATGATATAATAAAAAATGGAGGTTTCTATTTGAAAATTTCTAATTGATCCTCATGTGACCTTCGCAACATTATCCAGGGTCATTAATATTGCTGTGTGATGCTTCACTTGAAACTCTATAACTGTATGAAATATTTTTCTCTAAAATGCTTCATTTTCGAGATATTCGATCGTTCTGGGATTTTTAGACGCTCTGTGTGTGTGTGTGTATATATACTCTTAGTTTCGACTTAATTTAACGGTATAACGACGTCAGTCGCGACGATCGTACATGAAAACATGAACACGAAAAATTGATTAGCCTCGTAATTACCGTGCCTCACATATGAGCCCGCTTATTAAATTATCAAAAGTAAATTACCAAAGTAACAACCGCCAGATCCGATTATCTAATTAGTACGCAATTATTGCACTTAATATCTGTAATACGTTGTTATTATTCGCACTACAACGCAATACAACGTAATTTATGGAATATTACATGCGTAAACAGGAATTGTTCGCGATATATTCCGATCGTTTTAATCCTCGAGGTCCACCGTGAAAGGTTAATCGACTCTGACCCTAAATTATTTACCAAGTCCGTAATTCATTAACTTCGCCATCGAATAATATTTCATTTGGACGAGCCGGGAAGTAATTCGCCGAGAGTCGGTCGTTAGTACTTCACTTCGTTCGCAAGCACGGCGGCGCATCCAACTTCTCAAGATCACAAATTTTTCTCTTGACGTCTTGGCCCCCTCAGTTCAGAGGTTCTGAGATACGCACTTCAAAAACTTCATTATGCACGGTGTAAATTAGTTTCAATTTATCGCGAGACGAGGATAAACTTCTTAAGGCAAAACTCGGGGCATTTCCTCGGATAAAGTTATTGCGCGACAGCTCCGACAAATTCTAATCCAGCCTCGTAGTGTTTCGGTTAATGTGCCGAGTACGGCTAGAACGAAGCAAGCCTCGTTAAAGTCTACCTCTCTTGAAGATAGACCAACCGCTTCTTCTTCCGGGAGGACGAAAGTTTGTTGTTGATGCCGCGATGCGAATAGAATTTAGAAGTCACCTCAATGGCAAATTACGATCAAGTTCCAAGGACCTGAAATATGCACGGCCAAGATGTGCTATCAATTATTCGCCGTTCAACAACCATACGAGTCGTTAATGTCTTTGGAAAACTGATACGAGAAAAATGTGTGCATGTAAAATAAAAGCGAGACAGTGGACGCAAGAGAAAGAGAGAGAGACGCTCGTCAATACTGTCATCAGATAATGGTCACTGATGAGTAATCGTCGTTTCGTGAGTGGTAATAATAATTCGGAATTTGACAAAACGCGACTAAATCGAAGGTCGGCGCACGACCCGAATAAAAAATTATTGGGGCCATCCTTATGAAGCATAAGGCCCCGATAAGGCTGAAAGTAGGATGACTTAAGAAAGGATGCCTCATTATTATCACATCAGACCCCGAGAGGGATCTTTTACGAATACCTTAGATTTTACGAAATAAGACTTTAGGAAAAGCTGAGAAGAGCCTTAGAAGGATTTTGTAGGAATGCCTTAGATCTAATAAATAAGGCTTTGATAAGGAAAGCTGAGAAGGGCCTTAGAAGGATTTTTTAGGGATGTCTTAAATTTTACAAAATAATACTTTAATATGGGAAACTGATATGGGTCTTAGAAAGATCTTTTAAGAGGATGCTTTAGACATACAAAATCAAGTTTTGTTATAGAAAATTAATAAGATCTGAAGCGTGTAATAAAACTGTCATAGTTTAGTGTTGTTTTTTAGTAAGTACGCTCCATCTGATTTTTTTAAAGATTTTTTAATTACACCGCAATTAAAAACAAATTTTATTAGTTTTGTTAGTTGCCATATTCATCAGCCTCTTTCAAGGATTTTACTAATATTGCCTTTGTTTTGAAATGCAGCAAACTTTAATAAAAACAATTGCAGGATTTTTATCTGTAAAGAATACTATATTTTATTGTAAAGTATATTTTTAAAATAATTACTATATTTTTTAAATAAAAAAATTCTTGTTAAAGTAAAAAACCTTGTACTAACAAGGTAAGATAAAGAAATAAAGGAATTACAGTCTAAATTTCTTGGAATGAAAAAAACGAATATTTTTACTCAAGCAATAATAAAAATATTTTCTTATAAAGTCCTATTAATATTTGTCCTATTAATATTGCCTTATAAGGCCTTATTAATGTTGCTTCATAAAGCCCTCACAATATTGCCTTAAGAGGACTCGTTAAACCATTTGTTGCACATCTTGTAGAGCCCTTGTCTTTTTATTCCTACTAGGGTCCAAGTAATATTAGAGAAAAATAATCAGGTCCTTACTAGAGCCCTATTAATTTTTCTACTCGGATGACTTTTGAATCTTAACAGTCTTATGCTTTGGCGCAACGAACAAAGGTGAATACCGCAGCTTGAGCGCTGTTTCATTCGCCGACCTCGTGATCCTCGCTGAAATGTTGCGCCCCCGAGTGAAATGACATTTACAACCCGAGACAGGGATAACAGCGTGCAAACAGCGCAGGATGAGAGTTCCAAGGCCCTTCCGGCCCACTTCGGTGGCCCGGCCAAAAAATGTTGCACTTGGCCGCGCCGCGCCGTGCCAGCGGAACTTCCTGTAATAAAGTTTCCGAAAAGCTCTCACGCCCGGAGGCGATGAAACAAAACTGGCGGCGTTCCTGGGATGGAGTTATCGCCGAAGAGACAGACAGAGAGAGAGAGAGAGAGAGAGAGAGAGAGAGAGAGAGAGAGAGAGAGAAAGACACCCCTAACAAATTCTAATCTAATCCCGGTACCGCGGCGTCTCGGCTAATGCACAAGGCGCGGCAAGGACCTCTCGCTCACGCGGTGTCCTCGTTCCGAGGACCCAGATCCTACCC